GCTGATGGAAAGTCTGCCAGCAGAAGGAGACCTGCAGCCTCTACTCAGCCAGGGGCATGCAGCCAGCTGGCATGAGCATAGAGGTAGAGGGCATGTGGCCAGACCCTGCTTCAGGACATCCTCATGGAGCCCTGGCCACAAGGGAAACTGCTCTTACTAGCATCCTGGAAGGGTCTGTCTGCCTTCCTCTTCCTCTCCAGGGATCTTCAGCCCCCGCGCAGAGGCAGGCAGGAGTGGGGATGGGCATATGAAGCTAGGCTGGGGTGTTCCCCAGGGACAGAGAGACCTAATGCTGCTCATGGACCTGATCCTTTTCCCACTGAGTTGGGAGGTGGAGGGGGGCTGTACAAACGTGTTGGTATGACTGGCTCTTCTGTGCCCCCTTGCAGCTGAGCTCTGGAGGACAGCTGGTGGCCAAGCTGTGTGGGCAGGTGAGCACGGACACGGAGGAGGCTCCGGGCAACAAGACGTACCACTCTGTCGACAACACTCTCACCGTTACCTTCCGCTCTGACTACTCCAATGAGAAGCAGTTCACAGGCTTCGAGGCCTTCTACGCTGCTGAAGGTGAGAGCCAACCCCTGGCTAGGGAGAAAGCAACTGCACGGGGGCAGTGCCCCTCCTGGCCTCACACACCCTCTGTCAGGTGGCCTTGAGGCCTGGAGGAGGGACAGTCCCGTGCCCTGTGCAGGGTGCGAGGGAGAGGAGGGCGCGGGGTGCTACCAGTGAGGTTCTCGGCAGTGGGTAGGAGCTGGCTCAGACAGACACAAGCAGATTTTAAGGAGTTTCCAGCTAACACGCAGGAGCATCTCCCTTCTCTCCTTACCCTGCTCCATAGCTTCCATCTTGCCACCTTCTGCAGAGGACACTCGGTGTTAGGCCCTGCCCCGCACGCCCCAGCACACAATCCAGTTGGCTGATTCTGGTGTGTTTAACTCTGCTAGATGTGGACGAGTGCAAACTGCTGGTGGATGGGGAGCCGCTGTGTGACCACTACTGCCATAACTACCTGGGTGGCTACTACTGCAGCTGCAGGGTGGGCTATGCGCTCCTTAAGAACAAGAGGACATGCACAGGTGAGTCTGCTCCCCTCCCTGCCCCGGCTTGTGCTCAGGTGAGGCCCACTCAATCACCCGGATCACCCAGTGAAGTCCAAGTCTGGAGCATCCCAAGGCCCAGTTGCAGCCCATGCAATGCAGAGGAAGTTATTGTGCTTGGGCAGGGGGAAAGGCATTATCTGGAGGCTCTGGGGGCTTCAGTCTAGTTTCCAGGCATTTGCCCGCTGTCCCTGTGGTGGGCAGGCTCCAATGGCAGACCAGAGATTGGGTGTGCAATTGCCCCCTGGGACTGCTCCTCCAGGGTTTGGGCACAGGATGGAGGAAGGAAGCCCTCTTTCTGCTGCCCCAGCTGGATCCTGCGGGCTCCAGGCTCCAGCAGCCCACACCGATGTCCTGTAAAGGCTGAGGCGCAGACCCGCTGTTCTAGCCTCGCACGAGAAGCTGTGATCAAGGAGGCTGAGCACGAGCCGATCCCCAGCTCAGATGGAGACAGCATTGACCTGCTTCTGCCTGCCTGTCACAGCATGGACACCAGAGCTTCTGTGCTTGTGACACCAGCCACCTGAATCCAGCTGCAGATGTGTGAGAGGCCATGCATGGCCATCCCCTCCACAGGGCTAGAGCTGCAGGCCCCCAGCCATCTCCGCTGCTCTGCATGTGCTGCTGGAAGAAGGTTCATGACAAGGAACGATTGTCCGTCTGCATCGGCGCAGCGATCAGCACCTCGGGGCTTGCTCTGCCTGCAACGTGCTGTGAGCCAACATAGGACAGAAGCCAGATTCCTCGTAGCTGAGCGGCTTCATCAGGCTGGGGCTGGATCCTGCATGTGGGAGGACCTGGGGATGCTCAGTGCTCCCTAGATGTAGGCATAGCCTGCAGATCCTCCTCCTGTCTGGAGCCTTTGAAGTCTGACACTCCTGCATGGCTCTGGGGTGACTGTTCCACCCCCCTCTAGTGCAAACACTCCCAAACTTTGGGATCCCTCGGGTCTTGTTCAGGAGCTGTGCTCCCCAACCTGCAGTGCACTGGGAACTCTTGCTTGCTGCCCAGCCCCATCTCCTCCTGCCAGTGTGTGTAGCACAAGGGGTCAGTGGGATTGGCTCTGCCTTTAAAGCATATCCCCCATCTTGCTTTGGAAACATGCTTTGAGGCCATCCCAGCCTCTGACTGGGCTCCGGAGGACAGGCCTGTTGGAACCACACTGGCCCCTGTGATTTGGGCTTCCATCTTAGCAGGCTGAGATTGACAAGCCTTTCTTGTCTATTTGTTTCTTCTCCTTTATCTTCCAGCTTGAGATAATTAACCTGCTGCTGCTTAAGCAGAGATCAAGACAGACATGCGGGGAAGAGCTGGCTCACCCTCCTTCCTGACCTGCCAGCGGCTGCATGTCACACGGAAGCCGAGGGATGGGTCTCGGCTCCTTTGCGCACGTCTGGGTTTCCTTCCTTTCAGGCCTGTGGCCTGCAGACAATAAAATGGCCTTTCCTGTCCAAAGCTGACTGCAGCCTCAAGGTCCATTTTTTGTTTGTGTGTTTGCATTGCTCCACGTGTTACTAAGGAAAAGGAAAGGCAGATAAGGCAGAGGCTGGTGACCGAGTGCACTCCTGAGAGGTGCCTTGGGCCCCAACATGAGCCGGAGAGAAGCTGCCTCTTGCTTTTAGTGCACTGCTTCAGCTGCTGGGCTGATCAAGCCGAACGCTTAAACTAGAACGGGATGCAAGCCACCTCACTCCCCACTTAGCATCACTGGGTGACTTCAGATCTATGCCCGTGCTAAAACACCAAGCCTCTTCTCTGTGATGGACAAAGCCAAGAGCCTCAGTTCTGGGCATACTCATGCTTGGGAAAGGTTTGATCTCTCTCTAGACCCTGACATGGTGATTGCCCACATCTCCCTTTAGGACCCAACCCTGTGCTCATGGCTTGTCCTGTCGGGTCCTCTGGAAAGTCTCTGGGCTTCAGCTGTGCTGGGAAACAAAGCAGTAACTAAGCAAAGCAGCTCCAGGATGGAGTTTCCCTTCTTGAGGAGCAGCATCTGCCACTTGAAGCAGCAGCATGAAGAGGTGACCCTTTCCAGGTGGATTTAAATAAAAGTGGCTCCAGTCCGTGCCCAGCTCCCTCTTCCTACATAGTACTGGTGCTGTGATCTTTCCTGGCATCCTCACAGCACCCATCCATACCTTCCTCTCCTGTTGCAGGATGACATGAGAGTTGGTTAGGTCCATCCCAGCAGAGCATTCCCTGGGCACAGGATCCAGGCTCTGTTCTCTGTTTAGTACCATTGCTAGTGTTGTCCAGTTGCTTCCCTGCATCCTTCCCCAGCCCCACTCCCCCCGCCATTCATCTCTCGTCTCTTCTCTTGGACTGTCAGCTCCTTGGAGCAGGCACCCGCTCTCGGTCTGTGTGTTTGCAGTACCTAGTATACAGGGATCCGGGATCCTGACTAGGGCTCCTAGACACTATTTGAATTCAAAGAGCATCTGCAAGTGGGATATTAACTAATAGAGGTGGAGAGGCAGGTGGAAAAGCCACCCACAGATCAAACCAAGCTTTAAAGAGCTCAACAAGCTCACAAAGCCAGCAAGAGTGAGGAAGTAGAGGCTCTTGGCACTGGGAGCTCCATCTCTGCCCCACGCTGCTGTCCTGCATTCAGCTAATTCCTGCACTGAAATCATTCCTCCTGAGAGTTGGCATGAGGTTGACTCAAAAGAGACCTGGGTTTGGCCCTGGCCCAGCAACCGATGTCCTGTGTGACCTGGGGTAAGTCTCTGGCACCGGTGCACCTGTGTTCTCAATCTGCAACGTGGGCTGATAGGGCCGTGCTACTTTGCTGTGCGGGTTGCAAGGGTGAAGCCAATTACTGTGTGTAAAGCACTCGGACACTCCAGGGACAAGGGCCACAGTGGCAGGGTGGTCACCAGGACCCTGTCAGGATATGTGCTGTCTTGCCTTGAAGATGTGTTGCAGGCATCCACGCTGGGACCAGCTGGAGGCACCGGGGTGACTCGCTGGCATGATTACAATCCGCTTTTTGTTAGAAACCTAATGAGCCAGTGCCAATGAACTCACAAGTTTAGAGGGGCTCGTTTCTCAGAGTTTAGGTCTCTGGCAAATGTCTCGCTGTGATTCTAATAAAAATATGGGATAAGTATAATTGAGCACTCTCTGGGCAGCTCTAAAACCCTGTCTGAGAAGCCCAGGGACAGGATTACTGCTGTGAGTGGGTTGAAAATGATTCAATCCTTTTTGGGGCTGGCTAGTTTATGAGCTCCTTGCTTGCAGACTTGTGAAATAAAAATACAGCCCTGCCAAAGGCAGCTCCCTGTGGCCACATTCAGGAGATATTGCACAGGAAAGTAGGGCAGGTTCTGAAGTGTTTCATCTTCAAGCAGCAAATCCCTTAGATCCAGCACGAGGCACCTCCTCCTGTCTGCTCAGCTAGTTTTGGCTGCTGCTTGTGGCCATGGCTCCAGGGGGTTTATTTCCCTCTGCTGGGATTGTCTCACAGCATCGCACAACATCCCCTGACTCTCCAATCCCCTGGAGAATTGAGTTTCAGTGGACACTGATTCAGGACCCAGTCAACTTCCATCTTTCCCCTCCCTGGGTCCTTCAAAGCAAGGTGAAGGCTCAGGTGAAAGCTCCATTTTCAGCATCAGTGAGATATCAGCATTGCCCTGTTCGTATTATTTGTGCTGTGATAGCACACAAGGGTCCCAGGTATGGACTTCTTGTCCTAGGTGTTATCCAGGCACAGAAGAGCCTGTCCCAGCCTCACAGCACTGCTCCATGTCAGTGCTAGGGGCAGGTAAAACCTCAGTGGATGCATCTACGTGAGACATTTACTGTGGAGTTGCCTGATTAGCTCTGCAGTAAAACATTGGCATTTATCTACACATGCGGTGCTATCAGGACAGAGCAAACCAATTAACTTCACCATAGGATAGTACTGCCAGGCACGATTGCTATCCTACAGTGGCGTTTACTCCACTGCAACACACATGTAAATGGTGACAGGGCTGGCTGTGGCACAAAGGTGCTTTAGTGCGGGGGCTGCCTGCCAGCTAGCCCCACACTGGAGCACCCTCATGCCGCAGCCAGCCCCTCCGCAGCATGTTGAGCCAGGTCAGAGCACCCCCAGGCTGGTAGGCTGACCCAGAGGGCCAGCTCAATGTGCTGTGGTCCTAGGCCGGGGTGGGCAAAATACAGCCTGTGGGACCCCTAAAAAAATTAGAAAATTAGTATTTATTTGCTCCTGGCTGCCTGTCAAAGATGACAGGAGACAGAGGCAGTAGGACCCAGGGGAAGCCAGTGGCATGACCCAGCCGCACAACCTGCCCAGCCCCACCCCACCCCCAACCAGAAGCCCCTGCCTAGCATCAGAGAGGAAAATACAGCCGACAGCTTGCCAAAACTCAGTAAGCGGCCCTTCGCCCAAAATAATTGCCCACCCCTGTCCTAGACACACATGCAAATGGCATGCCCTGGAGCAATAAACTCCAGCACAAACTGCAACCAAGTTTATTCAGGGGTGCTACCTGCATGTGTAGACATGCCCAGCACCTGTCAGGCTCGCGGAAGTACCAGACTAAGTTCCTCTCACCCACTCACCTGTCTCTGCCAGTGGTCAGCACCTGGTACTTCAGAGGAAGGCATAAATCCATAAGCAGCTTTGAAGCATCACGCTTCTGTGAAGACATTCTTTCCTAACCCCAGGCAAAGTGCCTGATATAGGGGTCGTGCATGGCAGCAACTTGCAAAGGTATGAATTGAAGGAATAAACCTTAAATGCATGCTGTGCCTTTCTCCATGCTAACAAGCACTGTATCTTGGTTCCTATCTGTTTTAGGCTTGCTTTTGGATCACTCTTGCATGGACTAAGGTCAGGCCCATTCATTTTGTAACATGAAAGAATTGTAGTTTGTAAGAGAGAAACCAATTTTCCACTAACTTACTTGGTCCATTCAGCAGTTCAAAATTCTGTATTAAACAGGGTTTGATTTCTAGTCTGTCTCTGCAATGAATAGAAGGGAGGGTGATTGCAGGGATATTTTCTACCAAGTACCAGAAAGCAAAGTGATGAAGCCAAAGTTTTCAAATCAATATTTTCAGCAGCCCCGTCAGTGGCTTGGGAGAAGAATAATTGCACCGAGGACACTTGTTTGCTCTCCCATAATCAGCAGACGCTGCAGGACATTGAGCACTGAGTTGAAAAAAAAATGAGGTACTCACTTGCACAATAAAAGCATTCACCAATTATTCTTCATGAGTATGGAATGGAAAGAAGAGATTGATGTCTACCTGTAACACAGCTCAATGATTATTTTGCACTTGCAACAGAAAACTTAAGCCACCTCTAAATTAAGAAAAAAAGAGCAGAGCTGCAAGGTTAGGTCCAGAGTCGGCTGACAAACTCCTGACAAGTCAGTTGAGGTTTCTGTACCATCAGTCCTTCAGGATGAAAGCAAGTTCAGTCTGCAGGCAGGGGAGGTCCCGAGTTCAGCTTCAAAGCAGAATTTTTTCTTTAGCGGTGGATTCCTCTGATCTGCGTTTTTATCTCTGATGTTTGGGTACCAAGTTAGGCACTTGTGGGATTTGCAGTAGGAAATGCCCTTGATGCCTGGATACCCTGGGGAGGATCGAGGGGCTTCTGTAGAAAGTGATTACTCAAGAGAAGGGTGATGGAGAGGAGCGATGTCAGCTGGCTAGAGGAGGTCACAGCTCTCTAAAAGAACTGTTTGCAAGGCCCAAGTGCATCATTCTTTGTATGGTTAGCCCCACTGTGCTGGGAGCTGTTCACTGCAGCAAAACAGTAGGAAAAATAAAACAGACCTTAGCCCAAAGTTCTTGCACCTCAACCAGAATCAGCACTTCCTATAGCAAAAGATTTTAATATTGCATATCTAAGGGTTAAATGAAAGCAGGCTGTACCCTCCTGAAGAGGAGGAGACTGGAATTTGAAAGCAGAAAATCCAAGAATTGCTGAAGAGGGTGTTAGGATGCAGCACACGTCCCTGCCCTGAGCAGTTTCCATCTACATGGACAACAGAAAACACAACACGGCCTCCTGGGGAATCATCTGCATTTAATGAGTGGATGATGGCATATTAGTTGCTAGAGATTGGTATGGTGGGTATGTCCCAAAGCCAGCCAGTTTTCCTTTTACAATTAATTTAGTATTATAGTGGCACGAAACTTTTCGGAACTGTTACAGCCAGTCCATCAGTAAAGGAAACTGCTCTCATAGCCTATCGTAAAGCCTTTGTACCCAGCTGATCAAAGCACTGCTTCACAGCAATCATGCCATCAAAAAGCAAAGATCCTCTAGGCGCTTGTGGATGTTCCTCTCTGCCTTTCTTTAGCAGGGAGCATTGTGGCTTCAGTTGTGTCAGTAAGAGACAGAGCTGGCTTTTCACAGAGAATAAAATCACATTGGAAATTTCTGGCAGCAATCAAGGAAGAGCAGTCTGAAGCCTCTGGAAATGAGGGACAGGTAGTTTTGATTAGAAGCATTTACAGCCTGGGCACCGTGAACTAGCCACACCTTTAGTGCTTTGGTATTTGCCAGGGCTTCTCAGATGCTCCCTGCCAGTTGCTTGCATGGTGGCCTTACATCCTGTTACCTTTTCATCTTAATTCTGCAGTGACTTGACAACTAAGGGCCTGGCTCCTTCTCCTGCTCCCTGCACCCCCTGCCTCTGGGCACCATCCCTGATGTAAAACTGCTGACTAGTTCTTGTGATCTTTTATGCTTTTTTGCCTTCTAGCTCATTGTCAAAGCCAGTCTTTCACCAAGAGATCTGGAGAAATCACCAGCCCCAACTATCCCAAGGCTTATCCCAAACTCTCCTCCTGCAGCTACAGTATCCGGGTGGAAGACGGCTTCATGATCATCCTGGAATTTGTGGAAACCTTTAATGTGGAAGTGCACCCAGAGGCATTGTGTCCCTACGATGCCCTTAAGGTCAGTTGGGCTCCACTGCTGGGCCAGCTTTCTCCCCTCAAATTGTAGCCTCCCTGCCCTCCCACTCTTGGGTAGTTTTCTTGCTTGGGAAGTTCAGACAAGAGACATCCCCTTCCTTCCCAGCTCTCAGACAGAGGTGGTAGGACTAAATCCCACCTTCTGTCCATTACACATGGCATCATGTCATGCACAACACTTAAGCTCTTGGTACCTGAGTTTGCACATCTATAAAATGGCCATAGTGCCCCCCACCCAGGGCTAATCTCTCTCTGAAGCACTTTGAGATGCTTTGATGTAAACTTCTCTATATAAAATGATTGCCCTGACTTGCCATTAGGCAGAAGAGCTACAATTTGCTGAAGAGCTCCACAATTAGCAGCCTGAGCAGTCCCTGGCTAGCTGCCATTGTCCTCAAGCAGAAGGATACATTCCTTAACTTGACTAAGGATAGGTTAGGCAGAGGTGCTTGAGTTGTCTCGTTGTTTCAGATTAAAACACCAAAAAAGCAGTACGGCCCATTCTGTGGACAGACTTTGCCTCCGAAAATTGAGACAGGAAGCAACGCTGTTGATATTACTTTCACCACTGATATCTCAGGAGACCACACTGGATGGAAGATCAAATATACTACAACAGGTGGGTTATTAGGGCTGGGCTTTCTTGCCATCCAGAAATTTGGTTGTTCTCTGGGAGGCAGGTTTCTGATGGTGATTTCAAGAGAGATCAGGGAGAGTAGTTGTGTTGCTATGCAATGAGGACTGGGTTGGTATTAAAGATAACATGGGTATGATGTCAAAATTTAAATGAATACCTTATCTCAATTTTCAGTAAGAATAGATACAAAGGCAAGATCCCTAATGGGGTGTGAGGGAATGGAAAGGGAAGTTACTGCTTCTAAGGCAGAAGCAAAACCCAAAATTGCTTAATCCTCTCAAGTCTGTGGGGCTAGATTTGTTTTTTAAAGAACTGGCTTTTAAAAACAAATATCAGCTTGGCAGGAAGCACCATATAGAAAACAGCAGGGGAAGTGATGTAGGTGAGTATAGACCCCATTACTCTGGCTGCAGTAGTATGCACACATTGAAGGAAAGAATAATTAAAGACATGGACGTAAATTAAATGGGATCAAATACAGGCAGACTGCAGATGAAGAGGATAGCGTTCTTGGAAGGTCACTGCTTTTCAAGACAAAGGAAGTGTGGTCACTCTAAACTAAACTACCTGGATGTATTGTGTATTTGGATAGGGCTGATCCTGTCTCAGGCAGGGGGTTGGACTAGATCAGATGTTCTCAATCTTTTGCACCTTACGTCCCACCAACCATTTTGTCAAAAAACCCTGATCCCACTGTGATAAAAACAAAACCCCACTGTTTGAGAGAGCCATTGATTCCTCTTTGAAGTGCAAACAACTTTAATTTTTTTCAACTGGGCAATGAGTTGAAGTCCCACCTACATGACCTTTGAGTCCCACCACTGCTTGAGAAACACTGGACTAGATGATCTGTGGAGTCCCTTCCCGCCCTACTGCTCTGATTCTGTGACATGACTAGGCATTGGTACAGGGTCATAGGCAGAGTTATCACTTAAAGTGGAGAAGTGAAGTAGTACAACAATTGTAGAGTGGGTAAGACACTAGCTAAAATTAAGATAATGGGTGGTGTTGAAGGAGGGAGGTTATTAGTAGACCTACCATAGGACTGGTCTTGGGACCCATGTTCATTAACATTTTCTTTAACGATCTTTACACAAGATGTAGGAACACACAAAAAAAATTACCGATGACACAAAGTTGGGAGATGCAAATACAGAGCAGGGTGGGAACAGCATAGCGGAAAAGTTGGCTGGTCTTGAGGGAAATGCGGTCCTAGGATGCACCAGATGAGATACTGCTAGCAAAGACAGGAACATCTGAATGCCAGTGCCCAAAGCACAGGTGCAGGTGGGCCTCATCTGCATTGCTACCCAGAGTTTGACCACTACCTTCAAGGAGGAATTCAAACCAGAACTGGAAGAAACAGAGCTACTAGGATAATAAGGGGAAGGGAAAGTGTGCGTTAGGAGAAGACACTAAAAGAGCTGGGCTTGTGCAGTTTAGCTGAAAGCTGGGTGGAGATCCAGTTGCTGTCTTTAAATTCCCTGAAGGGAAAGCACCAGAGAGGTAGAAGAGCTGGTTAAGTTAAAGGGCAGTGTCTGCCCTAAAACTAGTGGGAGTGTACTGGCCAGGAATAAATTTAGGCTGGCAATGAGGCTTCTGACCACCAGCAGAATGAGGGTCTGAAGCAGCCTCTTGAGAAGTGTAATTGGGGGTGGGGAGAAAACATAAGCTGTTTTAAGGTGGAGTTTGGTAAACTCATGAAAGCAGATGGACAATGTAGTTACCTGCAGTAGCAGGGAACAGGGCTGATCCAGGGGATCCCTTCTAGTCATATATTTAAAACCAGTGTTGTTCTTTTTAGCGCTCACATTCATTTCTGCCACACTTGCACCTTGTCACCTTTTTGGCTAAGCTCAGTAGCAAAGGTACTTCCATGAGATTGAGTTCACTGATACACGCGTGTTACCCTACTCTTCCAAACAACCTTCCCTTCTGCAGCCTTAATGGGGATCTTAGGATTATAGCAAATGGTTCCTGTGTTCTCTGTACAGGGCAGAGTCAACGGCATGTCACAGGATCTGTCCTAAATGGAGATTTTCCTTTAGCTCAAGTAATTGCTTCTTTGCACGTTTGGAGCAGGATATTGTCTATCACTTCCATCAGCATAAAGGCCCAGAATGCCAAAGTGTGCAGCCTAGTGATGACAGCTGGTGCCACAGTTGTTGGTCACAGCTGTCATTTCACCACCCAACACATCTAGGACATTCATTTCCCTTCAAAGAAAAGAGGCCCCTACTCATGACTTGACTCCAAGCTACTCTCAGAACTCAGTGAGGCAGGACAACAGCGATCAGGCAGCTCCATTTCACACTTACATGTCACCAGAGCTTTATTGAAGTTTAAAAAGTCTGCCAGGGAGTATCCAGAGCAATAGGTGCTCCAGGACCAGAACGTCTGGGGTGGTTTGGGCAGTACGGAGCAAGCATTGGGCTTGTTTAGAGCAAAAGAGAAAGAGTCTTCACTGCATAACTCTAGATTGAGTAGTCTTCCAGCGTGGGGCTGAATCTGAGTAATCAAATTACACTGTGGGGATGACCGGAGCGTGTGTCAGCAAGGTTTTACTGTGCCTGCCTCACTTAAATGTTTCCTTCTGCTCTCAGTAACTTTTGTGTGTGCATGCTTGTGTGTGTGTGGGAAGAGATGACACACAGCAGTTCTTATCAGTCGTTACCAACAAAGATTAGACTCCATTTCAGAAGGAAATATGATGTTTTGTCATGCATCCCTCTACAGCTCTGTTGTGCCCTAATCCTAAAGCACCACCCAATGGCCACATCAGACCAGTGCAAGCACAATACATTCTGAAGGATTATTACGATCTGTCTTGTGATGCTGGATATGTGCTGTTGGAAGTAGGTAAACCACAAGCTCCTCATATTCTGCTTTCCCTTGCAGACTTAAATCTTTGTTGGAGTAGACAGCAGGCAGGATTTCTGGCTGTTTAACCACTGTCACACACAAACAATTTCTTTCCAAACCATAAACGTGTGCATGTTAGCTATCGTCTTTCAGTTGTCCTTTCCAAAGAACTGTCCTTTCCCAAACAGGTTTTATTGATGCTTTTGGGCTGCTGCACGTGTAAGTTTGTTTGTGGCTGCATTGGGAGATAAAAAAAAGAAGACTGTAAAGCCTGGCCCACTGAGGCAATATGCTAAGCATTAAGGCAGAAAAATTAAAGCTAGAACATGTTTTGTGTCTGCTGTCTAAAAAAATATTTTAGACAACTTCACAGCATTTCAACTTCAGTTCCCAGCAGGGGACTTCTGATGATATTCCAAATGCAGAAGCCTGTTGGGAGCGTATACTTAGATCACAGTCTTGCTGTTATCGTGTACTTTCAGTAAGACCCGTCCTTATTTTAATGCTTAGTATAAAAATATACCTCGTCTGACTATTCCTTCTTTCTACATGTTTGGTATTACTCTAGTACCTGTTCTGGTTACGAGTTAGATGTTGCTTCCATTTATGTTCAAAATCAAGACAACTAATTATATTAGAGCTTTGTCTATTCATTTCACCATGACATACGATAAAGGGAGGGTTTGTGCAAAAATTGATCAACTGCAAGATATGCTACATCTTCCTTCTTGACATACACTTTACATGACTTTACAGCGATACATTTCTCATTGATGGGGACTCCAGAGAAGCATAAGTGGGTCAGACTGCTGTAGCAAACAAATGTAAAGTGGATTCAAACTCCCAGGAAAATTATGCTTCCCTCCCTTATTTCACATGTCCCTCAAACCTCAGCCAGGTAGGGTTTGTTTGGTGTCCAGGAGGACAGTTATTAGTTATTGGAAAACAGTACGAATGTAACATAGGGACTACTGTTCCCACTGTAAAAGTGTTAAGGTACTGCAACAAAGTGAGAACAGGCGAGGACATCTGAGAAAGGCATCACAGGCCTATAAGATCTATTTAGTACAGCATATTTTTATTTCAGGCTGGTGAGCAGACATTAAGTCTGACTTTTTTTTTCAGGGAGTAGCAACACTGTGAAGTTGACCGAGTCAGTTTTTAACGAAATAAATAGATCTTTATGTCCTCTTTTTTTGCCCTATAGAATGAACTGGTTGTGAAATCTTTTAAAGCAGAATGTCAAAAGGATGGTTCCTGGAATAAGCCGATGGCAAAATGCATCAGTAAGTACATTACTATTAGGCACAAGTTTTTATCTGTGCAGTATGCTAATTTTTTACTTCTCTGACAGAGTATTTTCCTAAGTGTGAGAAAACGTAGGAGGCAGCATAGGATGAAATATTTTTATTTGGGTACAAATGACCCCTTTCTTATTAAATTGTATTTTTATTTAAAATTTAGACACTATACTTTTTTTTTTTTTTTTTTTTTTAAATCACTGCTGGCAACAGCAACGTTTGCTTTGAGATGACAGTAGCTAGGGATTTTTCTGTGGATATCCAGGCTATTATTGTAGAAGATAAATTATTCTAATAGTATTTCCACCCAACCAGCTCCTGCTCACATGGCTTAATATTTTTTTACTTTAGTCCACTTAAGGGGCTTTTTCCCCCCCTTTTTTCCCTTTTAACTGTTTAGTTGTCAACTGCGGCCCGCCTGAGGACATAGACAATGGCACTGTTACATACGTCACAAGACCTGAAGTGACCACTTACAAAGCTGAAATCCAGTACAAGTGCGAGGGCCCCTTCTACACTATGAAAGAGAAGAGTAACGGTAAGGGGAAACATTTTTTAGAGGCCTGATCTTCTGTTTCCCACAAGTACTTATGGGAAAACAGGCACTGAGATCTGGTGCAGCACTTATTTTACAGGGTTTAATTCATGCACTTAACACTTCATACATTCTCCTTAACTTCAGCTGGGGGAGTTAAATGCTTGTCACACCTGTGGAGATTCCACTTTACAAGCTCCTGTGGCACAAAGACCCTGGTCTTGGGCTACATAACTGTGAAGGATCCTGCCCTCTCACCGCTCAATAAAGGGGTGGGGATAGATAATGCACAGACAATTTTCATCCAAGACTACACAAAATTACGGTAGGACCCCATGACTGTAGTCTGGTACTTAGTCAACTAGGGGTCACAAAATGAAACTAGATCTTAAGTTTAAAACTAACAAAAGGAAATTCTTTTTCACACAGCACATAATTCAAGTGTAGAACTCATTGGCACCAGATGTGGAAGCTGATGGTTTAAGCCAGATTTTAAAAAGGAATTGGACACACTTTTGAGCACAGAAGTACAGGCTCTGAATTAGACCTTCCTAGACTTTAAATGCTGTGGGCTGTAAGTGACAGAAACAGTGGGGGAAAAACCCTGGTTACACCCGGTTCACTCCCTTTCAGCATCCACTCTGCCCCTGTGTGATACAGAATGCTGGGCAGGATGGACCTACGGTCTGACCCACAGGAGCTTGTAAAGTGGAATCGCCACAGCAAATGGCAATTCTTATGTTATGTCCAGATCCATCCATGTCTCATAGGTGCCTGGCTACGAAAATAGGACTGGGATTGTGCATGTACATTCTTAAATTTCTGCCTTTTTGAATTGCAGGTAAATACCAGTGCAGTGCTGATGGATTCTGGAAGAATTCCAAGGGAGAAAAAACACTTCCCATCTGTGAGCCAGGTAATGCGTGAATTGATATATCAAGTTTGATTGGCATAGATAAACAAGGACTTGATCTTAGGAAAATATATTCAGTAGTTGTCTTATGACCGGTCTTTAAACATTGTTATTGTCACAGTTTTATATGAGCACTGTTCACCACAAGGGATTGAGCAGCTCCTTTTATCATACAGAAGGAAACCAGCTTTTATTTAAGATGCAATTAAAAGAATGATCAAAATCATTTGTAGCTTTCCTAGTGATATTAAGTCCACAATATAACTTTTCATTAGCTATCAGCCTTCAATGAACATTAATTCCACAAAAACCCCTCAAAAAGCTAACACCTGCACAATTGTTATTAAATGTAAAACATGCCATAATTTGCCTTGTGTTAAGACTTACCAAGACGAGGTAAGTGCAATGAGTAACCCACTTTATTTGTATTAGATCAGTGAAAAATGAATGACAAACTGACGGGTCTAAACATCACAGCATCTAGAGTTCAACTGGGATCCATTGTAGTTCCCAACTCCCAAATTTATCCTTCTCCTCTTTACACTGGATCCTTTTTAAGACTCCTCTTTGGCCTTATTCCAAGTTCCACACCACTGTTAACATGAGGGCTCAAAGCTGAGAACTTGCCCTTCCCAAGACAATGTAAACCAGATTTAGGACTGCTTACACTCATACCTTTTCTATATCAATTCAAAAGCACACAAGGCTGGTATGAGAAATAGGCAGAAATTTCATAATCCTTAACCTGAGAGTTCTTTGCTTATTTGAACACTAGTCTGGTTTACATGACAACACACTAACCAAATAGGATAGAGTGAATCCAAGCCCTGTCCAGTAGCTTTATTACAGAACACTGTGAATGCTTGGGCAGCCACACAACTGATCTGCAAAATTTTGTACAAAACTTGCAGAGGGCCTGAAAAAGCCTATGAAGTCCTTCTGTGAAGAACATTCTGCATTATTTAGTCATA